ATTTGTCTGTATGTTTGAATTTATTTTTATAAGTTTAGTTGTATTTGTGCAGCACTGACTAAAATCATATCCACAATCTGTACAAATATGCTTGTCAAAGCAACTGATGTCAAGTTTATCACTTGTTGTACGAGCATGGACTCCAGTTTTGGATCAACTAAACTGAATAAGTACACACAATCAACGAATTTCAAGCTTAAATCTCTAATCTATGAGATTTTACTTTACACTGCTTAGACTTGTTGCTGTCCCTGTTAGCATCACAACTACTAGCACACACTCAGTCCCACACAGATCAAAACCTGATGTTTGTCCACAAGCTGTGACATGAAGGAGGCCATTCTGTCAGGCAGTGGCCAGATGAAATCATCTCTGTCAGCACTGTAGAGGCTGATTAGTTTGATCTCTTGTGGGCCCAGACACTCAGCTAACAAACTTTTTCAGAACAGAGAACACAACAGCCAAGAAATCAACCAAGCTGTAAACATGTTTGAGAACTGAGGAGATGTCTGCAGTCATCCAAAGCCATTACAGACCAGCATCTCTCTCTGGTTCTGAACGGTTTGTAAAGTAGATTTAATATTACTTTCAACAGATGTTGGAAGCTTATTTAAATCATTACATAAGCAAGCGTTTGTGTAGATACCACATACGTGAGCATACTTACGTGTTAAACTGTTCAGCAAAGATGAGGTTGGTTGACGTGCCGGTGATGGTGATGAGTCCTCCGATGGTCGCTGCATACGTGATGCTTAGCGACAGGCATTTACAGATCATGTGATCCCGTTTGGTGGGATACTGGGAGTCTCTTCTCATCTTCACCCTCTTTACATTTGGGATTTCAATCTCAACCTAGACGGCAGTGATGAAAATGTTGTAAACGAAGAGCAAACATGAGAAGCAATCAGGAAGACTGCTTCTAGCTCTTGTTTCCAGCAACATGGCTCTGGCCCACCCTCTTCACTGACACACTGCTCACCTGTGGCAGGTGGCCGTTGGTGTTTTTTATGAATTCCTGGTTTGAGATGGGCTTGAGACCCAAACCGTTGACCTCAGCGGTTTTTGTCTGAAAACAACAGAATACCGAATCAGTGCAAGCATATAGATTTTTCTGTGGCTAATTTCCACATTCTGTGTACTTCACACACACATGCACACACGCACACACACACACGTCACTTACGTCACTTAGTGTGGAGAGCTCCTGCTTATTGTAGTCATTGCTGAAATAAGAAGAGAAGATAAAGAAAATCAGTATGGTTGTGTGAGAGAAAATTGACTTTACTTTGGTTAAAATGAGTGAGACTGAAGGAAAACAGTCATTTGATGTAACTTAATAGCACAGATAAAAAAGTAAAATCCCTGCAGAACTACCACAGAACCCTGTGTAGACAACTTAAACAGACATTCACATATCATCGAGTGTAC